TTTTTTTTTTTTTTGGAAATCATTAGAAATTCCGGGAAATGAAAAAAATTTGTAATATTTTATGTATAATAATCCAAATGTTTATTAAATATATATATATATATATATATATATATAATTTATAATTAGAGTAATAACATAATTTGTTGAATATAATTAAATATTGATTATTTCTATTTTAATTTCTGAAAATTTTGACAATAAAATTTTAATGTATTAAAATTATAAAATATCAAACTTATTTTCTATTTGAAAAAAATTGACTACTATTTTAAAAATAATATAAAAATATTATATTCAAATTTTAAGATGTTACAATGTAATTATAAGCCAACTATATATGTACATAAGTTCATAAAATCTACTTTGGTTTTATGTAAAATATTATTAATTCTATAATTGTATTAATAAATTATAAAGATATATATAAATTTAGTATTATATTTAATGTTATATAATTAGACATTACATATTCTTAATTTGGCCCTTATATATAAACAATCAAATTAGGAACATGTTAGTTGCATATGGATCAAATTAAATTTTTTAAATATATAAATTATATATATATATATATTATAAAAATATATAAATTATATTATACATTTATGATAAATAATTTATATTATAGCTTAATATTATTTTTATTTATTTAAACATATGAAAATTTAATTTATAAATAATTATAAAAATAAAAATTAAATTAAATAAGAAGTTAAATATATAAAAAAATTGGTTTAATTTATAAATAATAATGATAAATAGAATTTGAATTAAATAAGAAGTTAAAAAATCTTTAAAACTTCCTTCTTAAATACATTCTTGTACAATATGAAAATTTACATTTAATATATAAGAATTGATTATAACTGTATAAAAACATCGTAATATCATTAGTTGATAGTCAAAACTAATTTATTTTAAAACATTGAACATCTAAAATGAGTTTTACTTTTTTAATATTCCATTTTATATTCATAACCAAAATTTGAATATCTAATAATATAATTAAGGAATTCAATTATGTATTAATTATATTAGTGTTGGCTATTTATGTATTGATATACTATAATATATTCTATGGTGTATTAATACATGATATTATAGAGTACATAATATTAGTATTATATAAGAGCACCTCTAGTAGGGTGCTTGTTATGTATCTTATTTTTAAGCAACAATGCTTATAAGAAATTCTACTAGAATTAGCATACATGACAAGATAAATTTTAAAATTTTTAGTTTTGTTGCTTAGAGAAACAACGGTGCTTAGCACTCTAAAATTTAAAATAAAGAGGTTTGATTGGTTGATGTTCATCCAAAGTGAAGGTGAAAATGTATAAAGATTTTGTAAAAAGTATAATGTAAGATGTCAAAAAGTGTTATATGAGCAGTAAAAAAATAGAGGTGCTTATAAGTAATTTTTATTAAAACAAAAATTATAAAAATATAATATGAGTTGCTTATAAGTAACGTGATACAGTGAAACCTATTTAAAGTGATTAGGAATCGGTTATAAGCAACTCATGGTAAATGCTCTCATGTACGGGAGTAGTTTGGTATCCGGAGGTGAGTAATTGGTCATGTGCGCTGTCGCATCGTGGTATCTACCGCCATTAAACGTGTCAGACAAAGTGCGGCTTCCAAACTTCCAACTCCAGGCCATCATCCGATAATACATAACCCCGTTGCTTCAAAAACTAAACCACATTTTAATTAAAAGTTATAAATAAAAATCACATCAAATTTTCATAAAAAATTTAGAGTCTTTTATACAAGTTTACTAGTTTTTTTAGATGTTTTAAAAAATATATTTTACTTTTAATAAAAAAATTCTTAAAAAAATCTTCTAATTTGTATCTAAATAAACTCTTAAATAATTTTAAAATAAATGTTGTGTGAATATTAAAAATAAAAAAAGAAAGAATAATGCACACTCATAATAAAAATAAAATCAAACTACACGAGATGCAATATAAATGGTGTAACTAGAATAGAATCAAATTAGTAAAATAATTAAAGACAAATTTCAAGGACAAAAATCATTAATAGAAGTAACTACAATAGAGAACTATATTAGTATTATTGGCCAAATACCATTTAAAGTCTTACAACATGTCTTTACTTTTAGCCTACAAATACAATGATTCTTGAACTTAATGAAAAAAGTACTTCCACACAACAATAATTTGTGTTATAAGTTTTCCAGTAAACTTTGTAGCATGTCTTTATTTTCTATAACTAGATAATAATTTTGTGTCAACCCCACCGAAATAAAATATTATCTTTTTAATGAGATTTATATAAAATTTAATTAATAATAAAAAATATATTAAAAATATGGAAAACGTGTTGCTAACAAATGGAAAGGCTTAAATTTTCTGTGTGAAGCATTGACTAAACAAGCTTATCTGAGTCAGGCCAAGGTGTGCAATAGGAACGGAGCCAGGATTTCAATACTGGGGGTGCCATATAGGGGGTGCCATATAGTAATATACATATGAGTTTATATTAAAAATATGAATTTATATTAAAAATAGGGGGTGCCATATAGTAATATATATGTATATAAAAAAAAATTAAAATTGTTGGGGGGCCGTGGCACCCGTAGGTCCCCCTTGGCTCCGTCCTTGGCAATAAATATTGTGAAGCAAACATCACTTTTGATGGGCTCACTTGTACAGTTTGTTTGACCCACTCTCATGCAGAAATATTGAAAAACATTGGTAACAAGTCATGGAAGACTGTGCACAGTTTTGTCTTGGTTAACACTATGTATAAATAGAAACGAGTAACAATGAATTTTTCATTATTAATTAAAATTTCATTCTCCCCGATTTCATTAATATTTGCCACTTTTACAACTATACATAACTATTATTCATTAACCTCTTTGCTTAAAATCATAATGACAAGGTTATATATATTATAAACAAGATTAATGACACTAATTGCTATATAATTCGGTTTAAATTACTGAATATACATGTAGGACTGGATGGACCCACTCCATTCGTTTCCTGCAACTCAGTGACATATTTTTTTTGGACTACTTGATCATGACACAAAGCAACACAAATCTAGACTTCAGAACAATCGATTGCTGTGAAAAAGTATATCATAAAGTATGAGTGTATATGACTGACCAATTCAGCACTGGTAAGTGCTTAATTATGAGTACTGTCTTTTGTCATTTCCTTTGGTTTAAGCAGCTAGTTTCCCGTAGACAGTGTCAACACTTGTTATACTTTCCACTCTATACTATGTTCAAAAGAAAGTGATGCTATTAAATTGTTATTGATTTGGTCTAAGCTAAGCTAAAGCATTTCTCAAACAGTGAAAATTGACTGACTTATGTAAGCAGGTAGCACCCCAGCCACCAGCTACTCCACTAAATTAATCCCATCAAAAATAAAAATGAACAGATGTAAACAACTTAACTAACTAACTATCCCATATGTATGTGTTCATGAGTTCATCATACAAGTTATCTCCATGATTTAAGAAAAAATAAGATCAAATTAATATTATGAAAGTTATGAAAATCTTATTGAAATAAGCTTTATATATATATATATATATTTTATAAACACTTGTACAAGTACTTGATCATAAAATAAGTCTAAACATGCCGTTTCCAAATGTGGTGTGAGGATGTTGTTCCAAACATGCTGATAATTGCTTCCAACGTGTTTAATAATATAAAAAATTGGCCTATAGTGAAATGCAGAAAAAAAACAAAAAAGCCAAAAAGTGAAGAAATGAAACTTTTTACTGCTCCAAGGCCTAGAATAATTTGAGGGAAGGATCGATCAAACAAAGAAATTAAACCTGTACGTTAATGTTGCTCATTTTGTGTAGAAAATAGACACTTCGATCATATACATCTCAAGTATGTGAAATTCATTTACTTGTTGCCGAGCATTCTCTCCAAAGAGCATCCAAAAAACGAAGAAGTTCCCGACACAGAAACGTGATTAACTACTCCATTACCATTACTATTCGCATTCTCATGATGACTCTCTCTAATCTCATCAGAACCACCATCAACCACAATCTCAACCAAATCATCACCACCATGATCACTTGATGCCACCACCCTAGAAGAATCACTCTCAACAACAATTGAAGCCCTACAAATAGGGCAATTGGAGTGTGAACTCAACCACATGTCAATGCACTCCACGTGAAAACCATGGCCACACTTTGGTAAACACCTTCCAACTTCACCACCCTCAAATGCACTCAAACAAATCACACACTCAAGTTCTTCATATTCTTCTTGGACCTTCTTGTTGTGGTCATAGATGAAGAGTGGAATTGCCCTAATGGTGGAGGAATCTAAGCCTTTGGTTGAGAGTGGTGATGAGTCTTCTATGTTGAAGCTGTGGAAGTGGTGGAACCTCGCCGGGCCGAGGACGTCGGAGACGGTGACGGTGGTTCTCCGGCGGCGGCGGCGACGGCGGGACTGAGCCTGTGCCTGAGCGAGGAACCACTTGGCGTAGAGGTGGAGGAGAAGGACAAAGAGAATGACTAGGAGAAGGGAAATGATGGCTGCAAGCATGATGTTGCTGTTGTCTGAGAAAATGTTCTGAAACATTTGGGTCAACGTGCTCATGGACTTGTTGTTGGGTGACTCAGATTGGGTTGGCATTGTCAAGAGTGGCCAAAAGGGTGTTTGGTTTTGCCTCAAAGGTTTCTACTTGGAGGGTTTTATTAGGAGAGTGGGTGGGTGGGAGTTTAGAATATTGGTGTTTTTTTATCATACATTTTAGTTTGGACAAAAATCCAATATAAGCACTATTTTGAGGAACCCTTAAATACTAAAATTAAACATAACAATACCACTAGATACAATTGTGTCGTTAAGGAAGTTGTTTAACATTTAAATTTTAGTCTTGAATATAAAATAAATTATATTAAAAAAACTATTTATTTTATGTATACTAATTATATTTAATAAAAATTAATTATTATTTTCGATGTTAGATATTTTGTATTAATATCATAATTATAAAAAAAAATATAAACATTTTTTAACAGAAATGTATATTTCTACGTGTTGATATATTGAGATAATCTTATTCAGATATCATTGATCATTAAGTGTAAGAGAAATACTAATAATATATTTTCTAATATTCTTTTGAACATATCTTTCTGTGTTTGTTTATATTTATTAAAAATTATAAATTTTAGTGAGTTTCACCTCTTAATGATTTTATCTCCTAATTTTATAGATTTTAATAAATTTTAATTAATGAAAAGATGTGTTTGAAAATGTTATTAACATTTCTTTGGAGTGTAAAGACTTGTATTAACAAAAACTCTAAATTATCAGAAAATTGACCAGTTTCCTATACTAGTAAATAGGTGTGGCATATGATATGGTTCTCCAACAGGAGCAAGTCATGTACTCGGCACTTGCAAACTAGTTTGCAACAGGAGAAACAGTCTGTGATGAAGAGTTAGCAGCCGATCTACGTGTGGTCTAGTGTTATGTGAAAGTGATTACGTGAGAGTGAAGTTAGTTTTGTTTGGGGGAATAAATTAGGGGGGTGTTGCCTCACGGATATGATACATTTGCGTGTGGTGGTTAATTAGCAACAACAAATTTGGTGTTCTCATGCATATATTATTTATTTGTATTCCACTAGTGAAAGGGGTGTGGTTGAAGTCAAAGGAGAATCCCTGTATCCAAGGATGCAAATGGGGACTTATGCATGGGATGAGAAAAAAGGTGCAGAATTGAAGGACTCGTGAAGGCGACGGCAGCAGAAAGAGAGAGGGTGGTTGAGTTTTATTATATTCATGTGGAGCAGTGCACTCTCTTTATTTATAGGTTTTTGTATTGTAGACTATGGTTTCGGTGGAGTGATTTTTAATGAATCATTATAGACCCTCAATTAATTACTATTTTACACGAGTCATGATAAAAATTGGTCCATTTTTTAAGTATATTTTTGCGTGATTAAATGACAATTTAAAAGATGGTGGTGTAAAATAATGAATGGTACTTGTGTGATGAATTTGAGTAGGGGATCCCAAGGCAAGGCCTATCATTCCAAGTCAATACTATTCTTGAGTTTTTTGCTTAGTTGTTATTGTTATTTAGCATTTATTACACTTTTTAGTTTTTAGATACACGTATCACGATACATGAGTTTTATCGCATGATTTTTAAAACTTTACATATGAATATTTGATGTATCATATTAATTATAGATATAAGGTGTTGATTATTCACGGATTATATTGACTGTGAATATGATATATTATATTATTTTATTATTTATATGCTACATTATAAAATTATAAAATTATATTAATAATTAATATATTATGTCAATAATTAATATATTATGTCTATGATCAACAAATGATATCAATCAATTGATTAATTAGATAATAAAAATATGTAAAATTTTATAATGAAGTAGCAAAATATACCATAAAATTTGTGAAATCATAATCATAAAATGTATTATTTGTACCGAGAAGCCGAGTTTTAACTCGGCATCACAGCGCAGAACGACCTCGATCACGCGTTAGACGACATCAGCTAAGATAAGGCTCGCTATTTAAATAGGTCATAACTGACCTCAGGCCCAAGGCCCAATGAAACCCTAATTTACACAAAAGTACGTGTATTACTTATACGAGATCCATACACCCACAAACACTAACTTTAGCATCAGAGTCTCTTTTGCAGGTACCATCCCCGCCTTAAAATAACAAACGTACTCAACAAAGGAGGCTGACCGATCTTATCCAGCAAATTGTCCCTACAACCGAACATAAAATATAAGTGATAAAAGAAAAATTGCCATTAAACCTACTATTTACTTCATCTTTGACAACAAAGGAGGGTATTATTGTTTTAAAAGGGGCAGTGGATGTTCAGGGGTCCCATGTGAATGGAACCAGACAGGGTCAGAGTTTTTTTTTCTTCTTTTATTATTTTGGCACACCTTGACCACCCTACAACCTCAGCTAAATGCCAATAGCAATAGTAGATCTTTGCATAGATTCCACCATATTTTGGTGCATGCTTCCTGCAATGGATCGATTCCTTTATAGAGAGGACATGGCATGATGCTATTGCTCTGTGTGTTTGTGTATGGTATAGGCTCGTGAACTCTGACGTACCCCAAAACTGCCACCATGTAATAATTGTATCATGTAAAAAGGGTCCTAGCCTTGGGCCTCTTCCAATGCACTTCAAAATTATTGCACCTTATTTGATCAGTCTAGCCAGTCAAATACTTAAAGTACCAAAAATTAATAGCTTACAATTCTACATTATTAAGTAGTCATATTAATTTAAATGAGTTTCATTATACATGCTGAGGTGTGATTGGGAATTTAGATTGAAGTGTGAATAGTATTTATTGTGCGTGCCTTGTCGTTAACTATGGCCTGCAAATAGTGAGATCAGCTTTCAATGGCATATCTGAGCTGCTTCTTATCCACATCAACAAGCTGTAGATGGTCCTTCCTATGACTTGCATTTGCATGCATGACTACTCTAAAGTGATCATTTCAGTATTTCCATTTTATTCATTACCAACTAGTAAATAGGTAAACCTTCTCTCCTAATTTAAGTTTTCTACATACACAAGGATCAAATTTCTAACTATAATCATTTAGTTAAATTATATGAATTTCTCATCATTTGTGTCAATCCAAATTAATAGTAATCATTTCAATATAGATAACAAAGTAAATAATTTTGATCTTTAATGATAAAGTTAATGATTAAATTTGTACATACATAATAAACAAATAATTATCCCCTATAAGAGTACTATCGATAATTGATAAATCAATTTTATATTTGATGGCGATTAATTTTCGTTTTAATTTAACAGTTTCATAAACATAATAAGCATGTACTGTAAATATAAGTTTTTATACTATGAATTTAACCGGAACTCATTTTTTATTTAGTTTATAAAAGTCAACAATATGACAATCTATATGGAAAATACATATATTAATTAATCTTTAATTTAATACAAAACAATTTTTTTTGAAAGGCCAAGACGATGTAGTTAAAAATAGGTAAAAAATGTTTTTAACCCATGTTTCTGTCAAATGTGACCGAGGTTCTTTCTACTTTCATATTGATGAATTTGATATTCAAACTTAGAAAACATGTAAATGTAGTCTCGTCTAATCTTGAAGACACACGATGAATTCTTATAGAAGGACTAAATCCACATGTTTTTCAAAGTTTGAAGACCAAATTCATCCAATTAATGTGGGGCTCAAGGAAGGGTTGGGATTGTGATGGTGGGAATGTGAATGAGTTGAATTAAATGTTTCCTGCAAAACAGATGTACAAGTCAAGATCTAGGTAGATGCATGGCTAGACTCTACTCTTCCATTGCAATCATGTTTCTGTCTAGTGGAGCCTCTTACAAGGGAATATGGAGAACTAACTGTGAAAGAGAAAAAACACTATTATTATTACATAACACTTACCATAACGTTAAGCATTCTTCTTCCGAGTTCCAACCAAGAGCTTAAGCTTTAAATATAATGGAATGTGTATTAGCTATTGATGAAATGTAATATTTCTGAAAGTGATGTCATTTACAGTTGAAATAATATTGAATATGAAGAGGATAACTTCCCTTCGTTATGGTAATTTTAAACAATGTAGTCCATTTACGGGAATATTACATTTTGCCAATAAATTGAAATGGGAAGAATGGATAATTGGTTTGTTTGTAGGCCATAGTATAGTATTATAAAGAGAACGTTTCTTGAATTCATTTCAGTCCATTAGTTTATATCTTTTCTCTTGGACACCCGTGACTCCCATTTGTATCTCAATTATCGTATGAAGAGGAACCTGGAAATGACAAATCTCACGTTAGATATCTTTCGGCATATTCATCATCATTCACCAAAAGTGATGATTTCTCCAACTGACATCATGAACCCCACAAAAATTTGTTAACCAAAAAAATAAATATAACTATGGAAAACTAAGGAAAACTCCATTCCATTAATTAAATATAACTTGAAACAACTGCAGTGTGCTTTGGAATATCCTTAATTAGATAATTTGATTTTGAACCAAATCGGCCTAGCGGTAAAGGTTAAAACAATATACACATGATCGTAAGTTCGAATCATGTTGTAATTTCTATGGACCAAAAACAAGAAAACCCTCAATTTATTCATATCTCATGTGATCGTCATTTTAGTCGCGGAACCTAATTTTACTAAAATTTTGCTTTAGTTCCTAATTGGAAATTATTATTTAAGTTACCCCTTTTCCTCGTGTTCTAAAATGAATGATGTATTGCAGGTCAAGGACTAAAATATATTAGGTTATAATTCATTTGTTCTTTAAAGAATTGCAACCAAGTCTATCAGGCCAAAGCATCAACTCCATGTTTCATATGCACCCATTTAGTGATATTAAAGATTCATATGCACCCATTTAGTGATATTAAAGAGAAAATATTTTATGCACCAATAGTGTAAAAAGTTTTTACATCGTCATCCAATTACAAATAAGTATGTATGGAAAGTTTAAGATCTTTTACAATGATTAACTTAAAAGTGATACCTACTATGATTTCTGATTAGTTGATAGTATTATTTTTTTATACTGTGCATAGAAATTAAACTCGAACACATTTGATAGAGTTCAGCTAAATATGAATTCAAACATTACCTCTATGTGTGGAATTTCTTTC